ACAACCATTTTTAATTGGGGACAGTCAGAAAACATGCTTGTATAATAATAATCAGAACTATCATAAAAATAAAGTGCCCTCTCAAAAACAGTAAATGTAATGTCTATTCATGTGCTTCCTTTAAAGGAAATCAATTTAACAAATCGGTAATAAACTCGGTAAATACTGTCTCATAACAAATCTTTATGTTTGGGAGGTTTCCAAGAAACGACCATGTAATTTGTATCAATGTGTGGACCCTTTCGTAAAAGGAGTCAAATATAACTGTAGGTCCATACTCGAGGGAAAAACTATAACTGTATGCTAGTTCTACATTGGCTATAGTTGTAATCGATAATCTGTAAATAAAAGGTGCATCAGGTCTAACGAACTCGCGGTTAGCTACGGGGTCCTTCAAAGTCTCCTCCCATTTATTTTTCTTTGTAAACAGTGAATATTCACATGAAAGCATTTTCAAAAAGCACAGGGTATTTCAATTCTTATCAAATCATGTAATCCAATTTCGGTAATGGTAATCATATCTCAAGTAACAGTAAAATATGTCTAGTAATAGTGAGAACATTTAAATAAGTGTCAACATCCCAAGTAAACTACTCAGTAGCATATCAAGTAAAGGACTTGTCCCACATGCAATTTCAAACATTCGGTAACACATTTTATTTGTAAAATAATGTATAAATCATGCAGGTTATGAAAACACAAATTGCACCAAGATTACTACTCACAGTACTCGTGTGAAATGCCAAACTCGTCACCTCAAGCGATCCGCATGACTTTCTTCAATCAGTCTGTAACCACATCAACATCAATCTCGTGTTAATTGCTTCATTAAGTCTAAATTCATCGCCAATTTAGAATACCCAATCCTCCGAGTTTTATATTTTATCATCAATTCACCGAATTATATTTACCCATGCTATGAGTAATTTAAATTAGTTCAAAATCTTTTAAATAAAATGTATTTATATAGTTTATTCGCTGTACTATTCAATTTCCTTAATAATGCGTATACGTTAAATTAAATAACATTGTTGTCAATTAAGTTGTTGTCCAAGTAGTTGTTCCAGCAACTACTCTTTTTTGTTTCTTTAAGTTTGACTAATCGGGAGAGCTTTGTAGGAGTAAGATACAGCTGCACGTTTTTTTATAGGCTTCCGTCAATTTTTTGACAGATCTTAACACAAGTATGTAACATGTTAACATTTTCATAATTGAAGGACGTTTTATTTTAGCATTGATACTTTAAGGATGTAGATTATTTTTGAAATACAGTTTAGAGATAATGTTGGCCAAAATCTTATATATATAAGTGGACAATAAGAAAGTGAGGTGACACCTCTCTTAGGCCAAGAAACATATTTATCTTTTTTCTCCTTTTTGGGGGATTTTTCATCATTCTTTCAATTTATTTTATAATAAAAATTAAAAAAGTTATTTTCATAACTCACAAGTATTTATCTACATAACTTATACTTTTAATAGTCTCAATAACTCCAATCCCTTTCATATTGATAACCTCCAAATGTTTAATGTGTAATTTTATGATAATTTATCTCTTTTTTTTTAATATACCCTTTCATTTCTCTCATTTAATCTAGAGTAAATGAGTAATAAAGAACCCATGTAGTAGTTTTCTAGAACAAAGCTCAGGCAGCTTTAGCAATTGAATACCATTTCCATTTATCTTTGTTGTCCTTTATTTACTTTAAAATTTAAAATTTCATTTTCATAACTCATATTACCTTAACTTCTACTCTTAATAATATTCATAACTCCCATGCTTTTCATATTCATAACCCCCACATATTTAATTTTAAAAATTAAAATACCTTATGGTATCATCTAAGTTTTTCCTATATAAATTCATAACTTTGTTTCATGAGACTCCTAGCCAAGACTACCCTTTCTATTCTTTACCTGAAATAGTAATATTGTTATATTTACTACAACATTTGATTCATGTTTTAGTTTGGCTTGAGCAAGAATGCTCTTGAATAATGATCGATATTTGCGGGAGGGGGTGTCGACAAGAACTCGAAAAATTATACATTGATTTTGTATTTCTATTTCCTTCTATTTTCTTATGATTAAGGTCTCAAGTTGTATGTTTTCTTCTCTATTTACTTTCTCGTGTTTTCTCTTTCGCTTTATTTTCTATGAACTTTTGTTTGTCGCAAGTTTGTATTTTCATTTGGACTCAAACTAATTACTTATAAGTTAAACTTTGTTGGAAGTATGCTAACTACTAACCAATAACAGCTCATTGTGTAAAAGGGATAAATTTTGAACATTCAAATACGCCCTTCATTGGATATTCCAGCAACACTTCTTATTTCTTTTAGTCAGTAAAAAGTGTTAGGGCTAAAAGTCACAGAGCAGGCTCAGGTTCTTCTTTGCTGAGCCATCGGCATGTTTGTTTCTTGTAAAATAGAAAGTATTTTCTACTTCATTTCTAATTGTGATTTTTATAAAGTAATTAGTAAACTGTCTTTCATTTTATTCGTATAATTGGATCATGTATTATATGTACGACAAAATAAAATAAAGTATTTGGTTTACTTTGTAACATTTGATTCTTTTTGAAGTATTCTGATAATTATCTTTCTTTTTGAAAGTTATGTTTTGATTTTCTTCTTTGAATTACCTATTATTTGTGAGACAAATTTTTTTTTTTTTTTTGCCGATAGGATACAAATAATTGAGCAACTATTCTGAAGTGAAGTACTCTATTCTCCTTGGAATGGAGAATTTGAGAGGGAAACTAATGAATAGAAAAGAAGAGACAAAGATGAAGGCTAAGAAGAGCATAATCAGAAGGAATATAAAAAACAATACGCCGCAATTCCTACATATTTCTTTTGTTTTATTTTCTTTTCGTTATTAGTTTCTTTACTTTTATTTCATATTTCTTTTATTTGAATAGGAGAAATTTTAGCAAAGCCGATGTTTTACTATCTAATGAAGAAATTATCTATTTACATGCCTCTAACATATAATTGTACTTAAAGAGTCTTGTATTAACCTCTCACTTCCTCCTCATTAATTATAATATATGTAAGTGAAATTTTTTCTTAAAAATCCTTTCTCTTTTATTTCCTTTTAAAAAAGAAAACCAGAAAAAAATGCAGTTACCTAAAATCTAATTCTAATTAAAATGTTAAGTATATGATTTATCGGTATGTAGAATTATCTTTTATATCCACGTTAATTTAAAAAAATTATCTCTCTCATCTACTATATATCGTTATTTTTCCTTTTTTTTTTTAAATTTAGTGATATTTTTTATATCCGCGCGAAGCGTAAAAAATTTCACTAGTTACCACATAAAACACAAAGATAAGCAATACGTTCTACTTCAGAATTAATTAGCTCGAATAATAATAATTAGTAAACGTAAGACTTGATGATAGTAATTGATAAGTATAAATAAACATAAGTAGATTCAAGTGGACCCATGGTTAGGCACATTCAAGAATTTAAAACCTCTCCACCAGAAAAGAAAAATACCAAAACGAAATTTTAATTAACTAGAATCAAATTTAACTTCCAAAATGCTTACTCACCTCTGTTATAAACCAGTAGAACATAGTAGGATTTAAGAGACAACAAAGTTTCCATATAGGGTATAATCCCGGTGAACGTGTTAGGTGTTTGACCAGATTTTCTTACCATAATTAGTTTTCCTATCTCATGAAGGAAAGGACAACATATTTACCATAATTGGGTTTTCCTTTTTGTAGAAGAAAATTATGATTCTTCCATATTTGGCTAGCTCCTTTTCTTGTAGGAAAAGGTTTGGAGTTCTATAAATTGAAGCGTCCTTCTCATTCAGCAGCATCCACAATATAGCCATGCATGGTTTGAGAGTCGTGTTTAGGGAGAGAACTTTACGGGACAAGTGTTAGTGTGTCACTTGTGTTTGCCTCTTCGTGAGGTTGTTCTCTCGATATTTTGTAGTCTCTTTTTATATATAGTGGATTGCTCATTTCCGCCGTAGACATAGGTCAATTGACCGAACCACATTAAATGTCTGTATCTCTTTTGGTAGATTTCTCTTTTGTTGTATGATTTATCGTCGTTTAAGGTTTGCTTTACTAACTTCCGCATGACACCTAATTTTTTTGTCCTAACAGAACGGACTTTGATGTCTCAAGCCTAACAACTTTAACTTGTTCATATTTATGTATTTTTGAATTATTAACCGCTAATTTACTTCCATCCTCTCGGAATAACACGTCTCCATCCTTCATAAAGCTCACATGCCTCAACCAAAATCTTTAACAAACTTCAAATCCTAATATTGCTCATTAGATTATGAATCTAATCGTATTCTGCATCATTCAAAATTTTCACATACTTTATGGCTCTTAAAAAGATTTTAGAACCACATAATTTGTTGAAGGAAAAAAAAGAGACGAGCTTAAAAGAGAGTACACTAATGAGGTATAGCTGGTATGAAAAGTGCAAATGAGTTTGTGAATTAAAAGTATGTACGTGTTTTTATGGCCACTTAACTTAATGAAATGACTCAAATATGCCACTGAACTTAATGAAATGATTCACATATGCCACTCGGGAGTGAGGGGGGACTGGGGCTGGTAAGTAATGAAGGATTTATATAATGTCATGGCAAAATTTGACAGTATTAGGGTTTCGTTAGTGGCTAATGGCATACATGGCCCAAAATGAGAACATTGGTGGCGTGTTTATGTCCAACTATTAACGAGTGGCATGGATAGGCCATTTCGTTAAGTCAAATAGCATATTTGAGCATTTTCCCTTTTAAGTTTACGCAACTTTTAAAGGAATAATTGATCTAACTCTGTTTTTATTTTATTTTCTGGTTTTATTATGTTTCAAGATTCTGAAATACCACTCCTACCCCAATTTGCACCTAGAAGGTTTTTTTTTTTTGGGGGGGGGGGGGGGGTGTTTAAAAGTAAAGGGAAATAAGGTTCTTTCAAGTTTCAGCATATGAATATTGACTACTATTTAAAAGATTGACTATAAACACTCATCAAAAAGAGGTCCTTCAACTAGTTACAACCGAAAATGAAACAATTATACAAGGAGTATAATTACTCTTCAAAAGAATACCAGTATCCACCCTTCACAACACAAAGGAAAATTATGCAAGACAGGTATTCAAATTGGTACAAAACCAACTATATGACAAAAACATGTGTGCATGTACTCACATTTGACACACAAACATATACACTAAAAGTGCCTATTCTTCATTAACAAGTATGACTCTAATCAAACATGAAAAAAACAACTAAAGTCACTGTTGAAGAGATCAACAAGCCAATTGATCTCTACATGGTGAAATTTCTTCAAAAATGGGAAGTCGCCTCGATCGAAATGGGGTCCACTCGTTCATCAACTGGTCAAGACCCTCAATAAATGCATCTTCTAAGTTTAATTGGGGAGAAGCGGAAGTGTATCCAAATTGTTCCAATTCTTTCAATAGTTCCTCTGCACGACTCTTTGATTTAGGATCTTCTGAGCCATAGACTTTACCTTGTAAAACGTCTTCAAGAACCGACCTTGCTTCACTATATCGCGCTTGTTTTAGTAGGCACAGACATAGATTGCAGGCTTTATTGGCATCAGGGTCAATTTGCTGAGCTTTGTGATAAACAATTTCAGCAGCTGCATAGTTGGTTTGTTGCATATATGCCCAACCCAAATTACCCTACACAATGATCCATGTAGTACATTTGTCAGAACACTACAGCTATAAGAATGCAATATTAATTAACCAGCAGCTAATATTGTGAAAAAGGATATAATTTGTATACACTGACATAAGCTTTAAGAATGTTTTCACTATAACGTAATTTAATCTGTTGCGACAGGTTACCCGCCAATTTGATGAATAGCCCTTTGTTGTTCAAACTGAATCGAATCATTTTTGTAATTTTCTAAATGTTCCAAAGTCTTTTAAGTTAGAATTAATCAAATTCTTGTTCCTTATTTTACAAGCTACTAATATCACTTTTTATGAACTGTTAGCTATAGTTATCTTTCCGATAACTTGATAGTGTAAAAATTCTTTTACATTATCAGTGTAGAGAAGTTGAACTCTAGTGAAAATCAAGGTATAGTTGAAAATACCAGTATCCGGGATGTCTCTTGCTTGATAGTAACTTGAAACTTCCTTCCATGGGAACGAGCAGTCTTAGTAGGTTTACCATTAAATGCTTCTCCTTGATATATCATTCGTAGCTTCTGCTTCAACAGTTCAATCTGCTCCTCTAATTTTCCACATTTCTGCAACATTCAACAAATCAATTAGTGTACTGACAAAGAGGAAACTCTTAATTGCAAGAAACATACTACCATCAGTTCTTTGAACACTCTGTCTTCAAACTGACTGTTAAGATTTACCAGGAACCGGAAAAGAAAAACAATACTACCTCCCTCTCCAGATATTAATTGTTTTAGCAAACTGAATTTGTACAGATATATTTAAATGTTTTCGTTAATGGGTGCGTAAGAGTGACATATAGAAAAAGCATAATCAGTAAACTAAGATTTTTGAATCATGTTTGTTTGGACGGAAAATTGGAGACTTTAGAAATTTTAACATCTAGTGCGAAGTTTCTCATATATATACTTTCTTGCTTAACAGCAAAAAGATAGAATAATGGACAGGTTGACATATTTGGCTGCTAACTAGATATCCATATTCTCTTTTACCACATTCAAAAGCAACTTCTCCACTGGATTTTAGTAACTTAAGTCAGAAAAACAGCTTCATCTTGCCTTGAGCCGAGGGTCTATTAGAAACAGCCTCTCTACATTATAGATAGAAGTAAGGTCTACATATATACGCATTACCCTCCCCAGACCCCACTTGTAGAATTATACTAGAATTGTTGTTGTTGTAAGTAAGAAAAACAGCAACAAAGAAAAATCATTTTCTACCAGATCATGTAATTGTTTGAAGAAGAAAATATCTTTTTTTTATCACAATGTAACAACTAGCCCTCGAGCCGAGGGTCTAGTGGAAACAACCTTTCTATATTAAGTAAAGTTTGCGTACACACTAGCCTCCTCAGACTCCATTTGTGGGATTACACTGTTGTTGTACAATGTATCAACTAGTACGTATTTAGTACCTTGTATAAATCAATGAGAACATTGTCTAATGATTCTTGTGCTTGTTTGGAGCATCGATCTCTGAACGATTTTATAGCTTCAATAGCCTCTTCAGACCGATCTTGCTGTTTCAAAACCACAGCCATATCTTTCAAGGCACTATCCACTCTATCTCCTGCATTTATTGCCTTCCAAAATAGAACTACAGCAGCCTCTGGATCTTTCTCTACTAGCTGCAAGTAACATCATAATTAAGCTTGTTTCATATATCATCACTTAATTTAGATGAGTTTAAATGTACCAAAAAAGTCTTATTTAGTAATTATTATACAATTTATAAGAAAACAAATTAAAACATATATCAATTAAAGCTTGGTAAGAGTTGGGCGGGTTGGACTATGACCCAAGTTTAGCCATTTTGACCCAGCCCAAGTAACTTTTGGGTGGCTTAATGAATGTCCATTTATTGAATCGACCCATTTTGAACCGCCCAAAATTAGCCCAACCCGTCCATTTGACACCCCTACTTAGAGTTGAGGTATATTGTTATTATTGTATCACATACAAATCCATTTGTAGTGTCACAACAACAAAGCCAGTAAAATCCCACAAGTGGGGTCTGGGGAGGGTAGTTGGTAGACAGACTTTACCCCTATTGTGGAAAGCTAGAGAGTCTATTTCTCATAGACCCTCGACTCAAAAAGAGAAAACCTCGCTGTATTCATGTTTATACTAAACCGGATAATTTAATCTTTAAGATTCACATTTCAATTGGATGCAAGTAAGTTTGGTGTAGGGGAATACAGGTGGGGTCAGCCACCAAGCATGCTCTAATTTGTATTACCCTTTCAAATTTAGAAGAAAAAAAACTTGAAAAAGTTTGAGAACATACTCAAATTAATGCAAATTGTGAAAGATGCGGACTTTAAAATGTCATACATAATTACCACTGTAGTAATTACATTTTTAATTCTGATAATATCCTCAAGAATAAATATAGAAGACTAACAATTTATTATGAAAAATAAATTACCTGTGCGTATTTGGCTCTAACATAGGGACTATCACCAGGAGGAAGCTTATGAATTACATGATAAAACTCTTGCTTCATCTCTCCTTTCTTTGTGCATAATCCATTGTTGTAATTCTTCATCATCTTAATTAATTAATTAATTAATAATAATAATAATAATAATTCCCTCTACTACTATCAAATTTATGGAACAACTAATGTATATCAAAATATAAAAGGAATAATTAATAAAGAAGAGGAGAAGATCTATTAAAGAAAAAGCTGAGGTTTTTTTCAGCAATGGAGGGAAGAGTTAGAGAGGAAAGAGAGAAAAATAAGATGCTTTAAAATATTGGATCAGAGGGGTGAAAATGAACTTAGACGGAAAGCAGTCTGAGTTCATTTGTTTGTTGGCTTTTCCGACAATTTGTTCGCCACGTATGTAATCTGGACACGTGTCAGTTTCGATTTCCATTTTGTGCCTGCTTTCTGCTTTGGGAGAGACTTTTTCTGTTTTCGTCTTTTCAGGTTTTCGGTTTTAGATTTCTAAATTGCAAATTACGCAAAACAGTTTACTGTGATTTTTTTTAATAAATGGAATTGATCTATACTAGATATTTGTTGGATTCAACGCCTTCGTTTTTAATCTATTAATAATCACTAAACCTATTTTTTATTGGTCATATGTTGAATTAGATGAGTGGCAAATATCATTGAATTCGTAGGGTTTGATTTATTTATCTGGATTTATTCTGATTATCTTTAGTCTAAAATTGTGCTACATCTATTTTCAAAGATAAAGTTGAGAGTCGTCTGGTACATTAGAGACTGCCTAAAAATTATGTGATTTTTATCCATCTGACGATACTGTATTTTGGTTTTGTTATTATCTTGTTTTTTTTAGTATTTTTCTTTTTTTGAGTTCTTTTATTACTGCATATCGTTTTTCAACACTGTTGTGATTATGTATACTTGCTTTGAGCCGAGTGTCTATCTAAAATAATATTTCTATATGCACAAAGTACGGGTAAGACTACATAATTTACCCTCCTTGAACCCCACTTGTGGGGTTGCACCGGATTTGTTGTTGTTGTTGCTGGTTAATAGTCATGAAAACAAGAATTCGATTTTCATTTTCTTATTTCATTTACCTGTTTCTCTAGTTTTTCCCCTTTTATTTTACCTTTACTTAATTAATTTTTCAATGCCGATAATACTATTTATTCTTTTTTATTTTGGGGGGAAAAGAACAAAGAGAACGTCACTACACAGAGATTGGCAAAAGGGAGAATTATACTGGTTTTAGCTAGACAGTGGTTGAGATTCTTTCTTACCTCAAAAAGGTGAAAAATGTACAGTCCTTTACAAAAGTTATGACTCGAATTTGAGTTCTGTCCATTGTTTAGTATTTCTTGGGAAACCGCACGAATACATTTTGACTGCTCTATTTTATTTCTTTTCTTTTCAAGATGAAACCAAAGAAAATTTATACACTCTCCATTCACTTTTATTTGTTTATTATATTAAAAGTATATTTTCTCTCTTACTAGTCCACTTTAGCAAATTAAGAAAAAGATAATTTTTTTCTTGTTTTACCCTTATCATTTTTCTTTTGAGAACAAGGATCTTATATATATATATATATATATATATATATATATATATATATCACTTTATATTCGTTCCAGAAATCAAGGGNATATATCACTTTATAGTAGAGTTCATACAACGATAACTGTCCGAGGGGGCATTTTCTACTTGGCTATTACATAACATGTCTCGAAGAACATTTTTGTTACCCAAATAAGCCAGTCTTGAACAAACATCTTTCCTAACTTTTTTAATAAGATAAGTAGAGCCTTCACAGTCCGAGCTTCAAGCATTACTTGCAAAATGAAGGGGGAGGGGGGGGGGGTTGGTAGAGAATAGTAAAATCCCTGCCTTTGTTATCGCCACACAGTGCTCTCCTAGCCATCATGTGTGCCAACTTGTTGGCTTCCCTGAAAATGTGGTGGATTTCCTGAACCTTCACCTGGATCATTGACGACCTGCACTCAAGGATAATGCTATTAAAAGTAGTCACTCCATTGTCCAAACAGGTAATCACATCAGTAGAGTCCGTTTCCACTTCTAAATTGGTAAGCCTTGTTCTTTGGCTATGTGAAGGCCTGTTTTCAAAGCCAACAACTCAGCCTGGAGGGGGGATACGCCAAAGGCTCCATAGAAGCCAAGTATCCAGTGACCCCTACTATCTCTAAAAATACCACCAAAGCCACATAGAGAATTTGCTTCCTTAAATGAGCCATCAATATTAAGCTTAATATAGTTTGCTGGTGGCTTAATCCAGTTAATAGTGATAAGGATATGTTTGTGAATTGTTTATTCTTTTTCTGTGAGAAGTTTGTATTGTATAGCTTGGTTATTGGCATAATAAAGAGCCGATTTATTAGTGGTATTGTTAAAGATATTGTTATTCCTATTAGTCCAAATTACCCATATGACAAAAGGAAATAGATCTATCCAAGTGATAATACCATTCTTAATGGATATAATTTACTAATATTTCTTCTGCTCATGTCCAAACCGAGTTGAAGCCATAGATCTTTTAGTAACGACACGACTTGTCGTTTTGCATTTTCGAACCCCGTTCCCTTAAATAATACTTTCCGCACTTGCTTTAGCTAATTTATGACTTGCGGGGACGGGTGGTTCGGAAGTTAGAAGAGTTTTGAGCAAGAATAAGCCTAGTTGCTTCTTTAAGTTTCTTTAAAAAGGCCAAGTTTGACCTCGGTCAACATTTTGGGGAAACGGACCCAGAATCGTGATTTGACAATTTCTGAGAGTCCGTGGGGAAATATGGGACCTGGGCGTATGCCCGGAATCGAATTCCGAGGTCCCTAGCCCGAGTAATGAATCTTTATATGAAATTGTTAAGTTTAAGTTTGTAAGATTTAAATAAACCAAGAAATTATTGTTTTCCTAGGAATCGGGTTCGAATTTTGATTCCGAAACTTGGTACAAGTCCGAAATATCAGTTAAGACTTACCTGTAAAATTTGGTATCAATCCGAGTGGTTTAAGGGCGTTTTGACCCGTTAGGAGGAAATTTAGAACTTGAAGGTTCAATGATTTGAATCATTTGGTTTTGGGGTTGATTCCCTGATTTAGCATTGTTTTAAGCGTTTCGAGGGCTCGAGTAGGTCCGCCTCGTGATTTCAGACTTGTTGGTATGTTCGGGCGGGGCTCGGGAGCCCCGAGCGTCAAATGGTCGAGGTTCGAGTGAAGTTGAAAACTCAGGAAAAACCTTATCTGCTGCTTCTGTCATAACCGCTTCTGCGGCTCTTGGACCGCAGAAGCGGTCGTTTTATCGCAGAAGCGGAAGGGGCCAGGCCCAGGGGAAACCGCAGGAGCGGAGCCCTGACCGCAGAAGCGGTCCATCCGCCTAGGCCCAGAACCGCAGAAGCAGTAGGCTTTCCGCTTAAGCGGCCTCGCAGAAGCGAGGTTATGACCGCAAAAGCGGCTCATGTCCGCAGAAGCGGAAATCACTGGGGGCAGAAGGGTTCATTAATACGAACCCAAACTCATTTCTTCCACATTACTCTCAACACTTAGGCGATTTTGGTGATTCCAAAGAGGAGGTTTCAACATAACGTTGCAAGGTAAGTAATCCCCACTCATTTTTAGTTCAAATACATTAACATTAGGTAGATTTAACACTAAAAATTAGGTAAAATCAAGGGATTTGAGCTAGACCTAGGGTTTAATGAAAACTAAGGTTTTATCACATAAATTGCCATGTAGTGAACTAGAAATCATATATGTGTGATCCTTAGGTGATAGAGAACAACTTCCTTCGAAAAATCTCAGAATCCGGGCACGTGGGCCCGGGGTCGGAATTTAGGAAACTTGTGTTAATGGTTAGGAAATTGCTTAAATAGCTAGAATTCAACCTTGTAAGCCTTTATTTACTAGTTATTACTTTGTTTGATTAGTTTGGGATTGTCCGGCTTTGAATTAAGGACTTGGGCTCGTTCTTGGACATTGGGAGTGCACTTTGGAGCGAGGTGAGTTTCCTTTATAACCTTGTAAGAGGGAATTGTCCCCATAGAATTTTGAATGAGTAATTGTTGCTAAATGCGGGGGCTACGTACGTACTAGGTGACGAGAGTCCGTGCGTAGCTACTATATGATAATTGTTCGGGTAGTTTAGGACCCACGTCATGTCTAATTGGGGAATACCTCTTATTTTAAATTGCCAATATGATCATTTTGATTTGCTAGAGACTTGAGGAAATGAAAGGTGAACGTATGAGTTTGTTGAGCCTTGGTAGGAATTCCCTTAGACATGAGTAATTGTTTTTTTTTGGGCCTTACAATAAGAGCATACTGGATCAATGTTAATACCAATATAATTCAAATGGCTTCTAGTAGGTAGTCTATTATGAAACCATTTTCAAAGTAAGAACTTAAGCTTATTGGGGCAATTTAGGTCCCAAATCCACATAAAATCTAAATCACTGTTAGGGTGATTTTTTATTAGGGAATAGCAAGATTTGGTAGTAAACAACCCATTGGTATTAAACGACCAAGTTGGCGTGTCACAATTACTAGCATTAGGCATTATAGCCTTAATTTTGTTAATAATGTTAGCTTCTAGACCCGTGGAGATTTTAGAAAGATCCCAGTTATTGTTAATCCAAATATCATTTATAGTTAGCAAGTTATCCGTTTGGGTCAAGGGGCCAGAAATATATTGGCAAAGAGGAGGAGTATCGTGAATCCAACGACTATTCCAAACACTAGGAGTTGATGAATTATCGGGAATCCAGGTAATGCCCTTATTACAAACTTCCCACCCTTTCAAGATACTGTCTCATATGAAGGATGAGTTAGTAGAAGTCTTCCTTTAACCATGGAGTCCTAAAATTAATTTTCCCCAAGGAGAACAAGTGTATTAAGCAGTCTCCAAGAGAGATTGGCTAGACTTGCTAGATTATTACTCTTAGCCTTACGAATTCCCAGCCCACCCTCTCTCTTTTACCTAGTAATAGTATTCTAGTTAATTAGATGAAGTTTTTTAGAGGTGGCACTAGTTCCCCAAACAAATTTTCTTTGAATCTTATCAATAGTACTAAGGATCTTGCTAGGCAAAAAGGTGTATTGCATAATGACTAGGGAGGGAGTTGAGGCAAGGGGTGGCCAAAACAGATCTACCTGCCATACTTAAGCAGTTTGATTTCCAGGTTCCTAGTCTAGCAAGCATATTATCAAGAACAAATTGAAAATCATTTGCTCTAGGTTTCGAGTTAGTAATTGAAAA